GGGGCAGTACATGGTTTTCAACTTCTTTTAGCTGCCTGAATTCCCTACTCTTGGGTATCGAGCTCCTGGTGCTGGGAGAGACAGGGAAGAAGGTGGGAGAGTTTTGGAGATCTGCCTTCCTTTCCTCCAGCCACATCTGTCAGGCCCACCACAGGGCACCAAGCTTGCAAGGGGCCTTGTAGGAGGTTGTCATTCTGTGGATAGTGTTGTCTTACCCCTGGTCTCCCTGCAGGTTCACCACTATGTTGTCCACATTTGCCAACCGTGAAAAGTTTATTGCTTCAGTTATATCCCTTCTGAGGACACATGACTTTGATGGTCTTGATCTTTTTTTCTTATATCCTGGACTAAGAGGCAGCCCCATGCATGACCGGTGGACTTTTCTCTTCTTAATTGAAGTAAGTCTGGTCTGGAAGCGCCAGAATCCAGAAATGATTCTACTTTTATATATCTGGACTTATGGCAGGAGAGGAGCATAAGTCCAGGGCCAGGGGCAGAAGAGGGTGACAGAATGTTCTTTTACTGTGAACCCCTGGAGGGTAATACCTGTAACTCCCCAAGGTTGCTCCTTTCTCTGCACCTGGGGCTTGCTCCAGTCCTCCAGCCTAAGGGATGCCTTCTGTGTGCAGCTTCCTGCGCTCCCTCAGGCAGTGTCTTTCTGAGTTCCATGCTCCTGAGCCTGCTCGCCACTGCACGATTAAATCATTCACCACATCAGCCCTCATCTGCCTGTCTCATGAGCCTGTGGCATGGCCCATGTCCAACTCACCTTCGTATCCCAGAGCCTGGCTCAGGAGCTCAGTAAATGCTTCTTAGATGACACTCTCCCCAGGCCGCACCTCTTGTTTGTCCAGTTCTCTGTGTCTTTCTGTCTTTTCTCCTAGGAGCTCCTGTTTGCCTTCCGGAAGGAGGCACTGCTCACCATGCGCCCAAGGCTGCTGCTGTCTGCTGCTGTTTCTGGGGTCCCACACATCGTCCAAACATCCTATGATGTGCGCTTTCTAGGAAGGTGAGTGTATATTGCCTTGGTGGGGCAGGACATTGGAGGGAAGCAGGTGTCTTGAGCTCAGAACACCAGAGCTTCCCAAGCCCTGTTTTTGAGCTCACCATGTGCCTGCCCTGACGTCAGTGCAAGTTTGGGGCTGGGCTGAGGGGCATGGGTGGGGACAAGGGCTAGCTCCATTATACCCTGAGGGTTTCTTTAGACCTGAGAGGGAGGTGATGTAATATCTGCCCACAACAATGTTAGCACAGGTAGAGTCTTCTGCACAGCTTAGGAGAGAATCCCAGGGACCTGGCCTCTTTCTACCTAGAGTATATCTGTAGACATACACTATGCAGCAGATGCTGGCATCAGAGATGGGTGAATTAATAATCACTGTCACAAAAACAAAAGTAGGAATGCCCAGTCACACCCATAATTCAGAGCAGTTCTTCATGCAAAAGTTAAAAAGCTAGACAAAGAGCAGCACATAAATCTTTTTGGACATGTCAACTCTAGGTATATTTTCTAGAACTTTGAGAATCAAGTATTTACAGAAGAGGAAACTGAGGCAGATGCAGACCAAAAGAGAAATGGGATGTTCCTGTGTGTGAGTGCACTAGAGAGTGGTTTCAACGTGGGAGGAGAGTGAGAGATGCAGGGGACATGGAGTGTGTTAGTGTTGATCTTTTAGCCAGACAGGATTGAGAGAGTCCTGCCCTCACCCAGCTGGGCAACTTTAGGCAAACTAGTTAACCCATCTGAGTTTCATTTCTTCACCTTTAAAATGGAGATGCTTACAGTACTTAGGGAATTAGCCAGATTAAAATTAAATTAGATAATCAGTGTAAACCCTTATCCCTGTAACCTGGTAATGATGAAAGCTTTCTAAAGGAGGTAGGTTTCAGTGGCTCCTGGAATTATAGAAAGACAAGCTACAGAACAGACTGCTTTTACTCAGGACCATTTGTGCAGATGCCTGTTAGCATTTGTATCAGACCTGAGTGTATTTTCTCTCATCTAACTCCTGCCTACCTCCACAGATACTCTCAGGATGCATAGATCCTCACACACAGCTGTTCCTAACCAGCTGTGTGTTCCAGTGGCAGGTGGATAGCACAGCATGGGCAGGCCCCACAGGCAGAAGGAGCAGGGAAGCTCTGGTGACCAATGTCTAGCTAACTAGCTAGACAGTGCTGTGATGATCTGACTTGAAAATCTGGCTAGCCCGGTCTTTATATCTCTTCCTCCTGCCCCTTACAGACTCCTGGATTTCATCAATGTCTTGTCTTATGACTTACATGGAAGTTGGGAAAAGTTCACAGGACATAATAGCCCCCTGTTCTCTCTGCCTGAAGACCCCAAATCTTCGGTAAGGAAAGGAAAGATCTCAGGTGGCCCAGACATCTGTCCCCCTGAGCTCAGGCCATTGGCTCTTAGTAACAAGGAGGAGTGTGGATTCTTCTTACCTGCAGGCATATGCTATGAATTATTGGAGAAAGCTTTCTTTTGGAAAGGTTGTGCATTGTTTTATTTTAAGTCCTGGGGCTGTCTCTTATACACATCTAGATGTGTATAAGAGACAGTCCCCTCTCTGAACACTCCCAGTGCTCCAGATACTGGGCTAGGGCTGTACATGCATTAACCCATGAACACTTGGAGGAAGCTTACAAAGTGGTTGTATTCCAAACTGGTAGAGCAGAAAGCACAAGTCACAAGTATTAAGGAACTTGCCAGATTTGTCCCAGGTATTCCTCAGAGATTGCCCAGCAAGGAGGTGGCAAACTCACCATGGAACCCAGGTCTGTTTATGAGTCTGGTTAATCTTGTAATCATGGCTCAGCTCAGGACTAACCCAGAGTTGCTTAAAGTTCAGCTCCAATAAGTTAGAATTTTTCCAAAGTGTCATCACTATGGAAGAGAAAACAACGTAAAATAGAAAAAAATATCAAACAAGCAATGAACAAAAGAACACACGATCAGGAGCCCCTTATCAGAGCACAGGCCTCTTGTGCCAAGTTATACAGCTCAGGCCCAGATTAACTCATAGATGTTTCTGGACATGCTGGCCCCAGACTCATGTTCTCTCCCCTAATCCAGTCAGGTAGAAAATGTCAGTGCTAGGACAGGTTGTGGGAATTGAGTGGTTACCTATGAGGAGACAGCACAGAGAGGGGCGGTGCCTTGCCAGTAGGCATACCATGTTTTGGGAGGCAGAGCTGGACTGAGCCGTTTCTCTGCACCCCAGGCTACCTGCTTGGTTCTGTGCCTGCTGTTCCCTGTGCCATCTGGCCTTGGGGCAGTACATGGTTTTCAACTTCTTTTAGCTGCCTGAATTCCCAGGGCCAGGGAGAGAGGATGTGAAAATGTGGCCCGGTCTCTTGGGCTGCTGCATTCACATTGCTTTCTGGAAGCTGAGCTCCATCCACTCCCTT